CTATAGCTTTGACTAGGCAGACCTTTGTTGGCAAAGTAATGTTTCTGCTTTTTATATGCTGTCTAGGTTGGTCATAGCTTTTTTCCATGGAGTAAAACGTCTTTTAATTTCATGGCTGCAGTCACCATTTGCAGTGATTCTGGAGCCCCCAAAAATAGTCTGTCACTGTTTCCATTGTTTCCCCATCTATTTGCCATGAAGTGATGGGACTAGATGCCATGATATTAGTTTTCTGAATGTTGAGTTTTAAGCCAACTTTTTCACTCTCCTCTTTCACTTTCATCAAGACGCTCTTTAGTTCTTCTTCACTTTCTGCCATAAGGGTCATGTCATCTGCATGTCTGAGGTTATTGATATTTCTCCTGGCAGTCTTGATTCCAGCTTGTGCTTCTTCCAGCCCAGCGTTTCTCATGATGTACTCCACATATAAGTTAAATAAGCAGGGTGACAATATACAGCCTTGATGTACTCCTTTTCCTATTTGGAACCAGTCTGTTTTTCCATGTCCAGTTCAAACTGTTGCTTCCTAACCTGCATACAGATTTCTTAGGCGGTAGGTCAGGTGGTCTGGTATTCCCATCTCTTTCAGAATTGTCCACAGTTTGTTGTGATCCACACAGTCAAAAGCTTTGGCGTAGTCAATAAAGCAGAAATAGATGCTTTTCTGGAACTGTCTTGCTTTTTCGATGATCCAGCAGATGTTGGCAATTTGCTGTCTGGTTCCTCTGCCTTTTCTAAACCTAGCTTGAATATCTGGAAGTTCTTGGTTCACGTACTGTTGAAGCCTGCCTTAGAGAATTTTGAGCATTAGTTTGCTAGCGTATGAGATGAGTGCAGTTGTGTGGTAGTTTGAGCATTCTTTCACATTGCCTTTCTTTGGGATTGGAATGAAAACTGACATTTCCCAGTTCTGTGGCCACTGCTGAGTTTTCCAAATTTGCTGACATATTGAATGCAGCACTTTCACAGCATCATCTTTTAGGACTTGAAATAGTTCAACTGGAATTCCATCACCTCCACTTGCTTTGTTTATAGTGATGCTTCCTAAAGCCCAACTGACTTTGCATTCCAGGATGTCTGGCTGTAGGTGAGTGATCCCATGTATTAATTCAGACAGTCTTCAATTTAGAAACAGTTTGTTCCAAATATACTTAGTTGACTGTAACTTGGAGTACATTTTCCCTATAATAAGAATGCTATAAATCATTTCCATGTTATCCTGACTTTGATACAATTGAATGTGATTTTTTTGCAATGTTTTATGGAGAGTAAGCTAATGATTCCTGGAATTTTTTCAGAGTATATTAATAATAGGAGAGAAAGTATACACTCAAGTATATAAATATTCTTTTGGCTTTTAGTTTTTGCTAGTAAAGTAATATCCAGAGAGCACATTGAAATTTTTCATTATTGATTGTTTATTTATACAAAGTACTTTCCCCATTAGTCTCATTACCGCAGAAAACACTAAATGGTGTGTTTATCTTGGCAATCTACTGAACAATTTCCAGAGTTAAAGACAGACTTACCTCTGAAATATTCATTTCAGTAGTGATTTGAATTATAATCATCCTTAAATACAGAGAAGGCAATGGCAACCCACTACAGTACTCTTGCCTGGAAAATCCCATGGATGGAGGAGCCTAATAGGCTGTAGTCCATGGGGTCGCTAAGAGTCAGACATGACTGAACGACTTTCACTTTTACTTTTCACTTTCATGCATTGGAGAAGAAAATGGCAACCCACTCCAGTGTTCTTGCCTGGAGAATCCCAGGGAAGGGGGAGCCTGGTGGGCTGCCATCTCTGGGGTCGCACAGAGTCAGACACGACTGAAGCAACTTAGCAGCAGCAGCATCCTTAAATATGTTATAGGGCCTTATTTCTAGGATCAATGACGTTTTTAAATGTTTATTGTATTTAGCTCATTTTCTTTCTCTTTGCCCTAACCATGTAAATGTTTTTGGTGTCTATTTGAGGGAGGCCTTAAACAACAGGAATTGGAATGATAGCAACCGTAAATTTCATTTCTGAAATAGCTTATGCCAGACCCTTCCTCTATGCTTTAAAGTGTTATGCAAGCAATATTCCTCAGAGGCTAAAACTGCTATCTCCTGTTTACATGTAAAGAGACTTCAGCCAGAGGTTGAAGGATTTGCATGAGTCACTTAGTGAGGGGCTTAGCTGGAATTTAGAACCAGATTTATCTTGTCTCCGCTGCTCCTGATCTTTGTACTATACCATACTGTCACAATGAAAGGACGACGTCAACATTTTCAAAAGCTGTCTATTTTGAAAAATAAAGAACTTGGGTCGCACATGTAGGTGTTTGTTTTGGGGTATCAGAACAATGTGATCACTCCTGGGTAGAGTGATCAGAGAAAGTTTATGAGCATAGTGAGTATAAAGAACTCAAATAGAATATTAACTAAATCAAAATTTGGATTTGGAGACATCAGAGGACCTATGAAAATCAAATTCTGTCTCTTCCCAATTCTGTTTTATGTTGAACTTCCTTGTTAAATGGAGAATGAATTCTAGACTGACCTGGAAAGAAGGATCCGAGCAAAACACGGATTACCGGGGAAATCGCCTGTTTCCGTAGTACTGCTGAAATAGGGAACTAAGCCTCCCTAATCTAGCAAAAGGCTTTTCAGTAACTGTATGCCGGGCATTGGAGAAAAAGATAAGCAAGACATGCATAGTACAGCAGTAGTAAATTAGGAATCATGTGGTGAGACAGACATGGAATGTTGCGGACACTGAAAGAGAGAAGGCTACTTTACTCCTCATCAACTGAATCATAAAAAGGCTTCCCAGAGGAGGTAACACCGAAGGATAAAAAGGAGTTAACTAGATTCAGAGGGTGCTGAACACTGCAGGAAGAAAAACCAGCGTGTACAGATGAAACTGAAGTGCAGTTCTTCAAAGTGAGTTTTAGATACTTTTATTAGTGTTTGCATCAGTACCTTATAGGAATCATGAAGGCAAGAACTTTAGGATTCCAATTATTCAAATTTTAGAAAGCAATTGACTACCCTGTGAAATTTTGAAATATACTACACCCTGTCATTGAGGTTAAAACCCCGATACATGTTCATTCTGTTCAGTTCAGTTCAGTCGCTCAGTCATGTCCAACTCCTTGTGACTCCATGGACTGCAGCACACCAGGCCTCCCTGTCCATCACCAACTCCCAGAGTTTACCCAAACTCATGTCCATTGAGTCGCTGATGCCACCCAACCATCTCATCCTCTGTCGTCCCCTTCTCCTCCTGCCCCCAATTACATGTTCATAGGGAAAACCTGTTGAAGTTTTCTCTGCTCATAGAGTATCAGAGCTGGCAGCATGCTCTGAGATTGTCTAGTCAGTTCATATTTTCATTCAACAATGGTATTTACTGGGTGCTATTCACAGAGGACACAGAAATGAAAGATGGACCTTGCCTTCAAGGAGCTCACAGTCTAAAGGAGGAAATGAAAAGACAGTTATACAAGTATAATAAAATGCTAAATAAGAATGGGATACGAGTTAAGCACAAAGGAAGGCTCATTCACTTTTCCTAAAAATTAGCTAGATAAAATTTTGATGAGATCTTGAAGAATGTAGAAGAAGAAGAAATCTAGAAAGGAAGAAAGAATGTTTTGGGTCAGGACTGTGCTGGTTAAAAGGAATAGTTTGAAACATTTCTACTTAAATGTTTCAGTCTTGATTTCTCTAAACAAGCAAAGATTATCTGAAAGCAGTGTCATGGATTTTCTTGGCTGTCTATATAACTGAGCCTAACCAGTGGTTTTCAATGTGTGGTCCTGGGACCAGCAGTATCAGCATTTTCTGGAAATGTAGAAATGCAAATTTTCAGGCTCTAGCCCAGACCCACTGAATCAGAGACTCTGGTGATGGGGCCTAGCAATCCGTGTTTTAACAAGTCTTTCAGAAGATCCTGATGCATGCTAAAATTTGAAAACCATTGGCCTAAACTACAGTATCTGGTCCCATCACTTCATGGGAAATAGATGGGGAAACAGTGGAAACAGTGACAACTTTACTTTTTTGGACTCCAAAATTACTGCAGATGGTGATTGCAGCCATGAAATTAAAAGACGCTTATTCTTTGGAAGGAAAGTTATGACCAACCTAGATAGCATATTAAAAAGCAGAAACATTACTTTGCCAACAAAGGTCCATCTAGTCAAGGCTATGGTTTTTCCAGTGGTTATGTATGGATGTGAGAGTTGGACTGTGAAGAAAGCTGAGCGCCAAAGAATTGATGCTTTTGAACTGTGGTGTTGGAGAAGACTCTTGAGAGTCCCTTGGACTGCAAGGAGATCCAACCAGTCAATTCTAAAGGAGATCAGTCCTGGCTGTTCATTGGAAGGACTGATGCTGAAGCTGAAACTCCAGTACTTTGGCCACCTGATGCGAAGAGTTGACTCATCGGAAAAGACCCTGATGCTGGGAGGGATTGGGGGCAGGAGGAGAAGGGGACGACAGAGGATAGATGGCTGGATGACATCACCAACTCAATGGACATGGGTTTGAGTAAATTCCGGGAGTTGGTGATGGACAGGGAGGCCTGGCGAGCTGCGATTCATGGGGTCGCATAGAGTCGGACACGACTGAGCGACTGAACTGAACTGAACTGAAACTGCAGTAGTTCAGGGAATAATTGAGAGTCATGGGCTTCAAGGACGGGGACCTGGGTTTGAATCCCACTGGTCCCATTTGATAGCGATGTAACTGCCAATCTGTTTCCTAACATCTGAGCTTTGGTATTTTCTTATATAAAATGAAGATAAGAATATTCCTTTCCAGGGTTGTTGTGAAGATTGATAGATACAATTTAAGTGAAACACCAACATTGTGGCTTGCACATGGTAGGCTTTCAATAAATGATAGCTACTACTATTGTTACTGTTTTTTCTTTTTTGTTAAGATATTTCCCCTGGTGAAATGATTGCTTTCACTTACTGAATGAAAAGTACTTATATATTTCCTTTCAGATTCAAATGCTGAAGAAGTTAAGGACATCTATGGACTCCGTGGTCAAGTAGAACACAAATTAGCTTTCCTGAGAACTCAAGTGCCAAAGGAAATGAAGCTTGTGATCATTGGCCATTCCATAGGCTCCTATTTTTCCCTTGAGATTCTGAAGCACGCACCTGAGCTCCCAGTAAGTATGCCTCTGGAGGTGACTGTCAGTACTTGATTATGCACAAGTCCTCTCAGAGCTCCTTTGCTCTTTGTCTCTTCTGTAATCGATAAGTAGAACATGGAGAGCGATCCTTGGTAGCTACCTTTATCCTATCTCTGCAGTACTGTGGGCCCAGGTTGAAAGTATATTCATACCTTTCCCACAGTGTTTCAGAAATAATGCTGGAGGAGATTGGGATTTTCTGAATAAATGCCTGTGTTTTAAAAAATTAAAGCATAGTAAATTCAAAAAAATAAGATCGTGGCATCTGGTCCCATCACTCTGTGGCAAGTAGAAGGGGGAAAAGTGGAAACTGACAGATTTTATTTCCTTGGGCTCCAGAATCACTGAAGATGGTGACTACAGCCATGAAATTAAAAGACACTTGCTCCTTGGAAGGTAAACTGTGACAGACCTAAACAGCATATCAAAAGGCAGAGACATAACTTTGCTGATAAAGGTTCATATAGTCAAAAGTATGGTTTTTCCAGTAGTCGTGTGCAAATGTGAGTTGGACCATAAAGAAGGCTGAATGCCGAAGGATTGATGGTTTCAAATTGTGGTGGTGAGAGACTTGAGAGTCCCATGGACTGCAAGGAGATCAAATCAGTCAATCCTAAAGGAAATCGACCTGAATATTCATTGAAAAGACTGAAGCTGAAGCTCAATACTTTGGCAACCTGATGCAAAGAGCCGACTCTTTGGAAAAGACCCTGATGTTGGGAAAGATTGATGGCAGGAGGAAAAGGGGGTGAGGATGAGATGAGTTGGATGAGGATGAGATGGTTGAGATGGGATCACTGACTCAGTGGACATGAGTTTGAGCAAATTCCAGGAAATAGTGAAGGACAGGGGAAGCCTGGTGTGCTACAGTCCATGGGCTTGCAAAGAGTCGGACACGACTGAACTACTGAAGAACAACAACAGATAGTTAATTTATAATATTTTACTTGAGCAAATGCCTTTTAATCTAGGGTGATCTGGAGTTTTTAAGTTACATCTAACCTGCTTTCATTCATAAAGGAATATTTAAAAGCAGTCACCAACTAAGACTGAGGCAAGAATCTTGTCTAGGAAGAGAATTGTATAAATACTCATTTTTGCTCTTGTTTAGTCACTAAGTCATGTAGCGACCTAACATAAACATAAAGACCTGTTTAAAGTGCCAGGAAAGCTAGCGAACTATACAACACTTCAAAACAAAACAAAACCTCATACCTTTACTGACATATACCATTGAAATGATGCATTAAATGCAATTCACTACATAAATTATTTCCTCATTCAACAAACTTACATATTTAGCACTTGCCATGTAACAGACCTCATGCTGTGTTTTGACGACATCCCAGTGAATAAAATAGTCTGTGAGGCCAGTCTGTGAGGCTTCAGAACCTGAAGCCTAATGGAAAACACAGACTAACCCATAGGTATGGTACCTACTGTCTTATGTGAATAGAGAGTGTGTGGGAGCATGAAGGAGTGCTATTTAACCTGGTAATCTGAAGGCAAGACAGGAAGTGATTCTTTCCTGGAATCTCCCTAGCCTGGGAGATTTTCACTCCATGTGATAAAACATCCTCAGTGGCATCTCAGTTCAGTTCAGTTCAGTCGCTCAGTCATGTCCGACTCTTTGTGACCCCATGAATCGTAGCATGCCAGGCCTCCCTGTCCATCACCAACTCCCGGAGTCCACCCAAACCCATGTCCATTGAGTCGGTGATGCCATCCAACCATCTCATCCTCTGTCATCCCCTTCTCTTCCTGCCCTCAATCTTTCCCAGCATCAGGGTCTTTTCAAATGAGTCAGCTCTTTGCATCAGGTGGCCGAAGTATTGGAGTTTCAGCTTCAACATCAGTCCTTCCAGTGAACACCCAGGACTGATCTCCTTTAGTCTCAGAGCTCACTAGAAATTTGCTCCTTTTCCCACTAGCTTAACACACTTAACTTCTTACTTATAGTTGCCATTGGGAAAAGTACAACTGTAGCCTCTTGGGGTGTGGTGTTTCATACCAAATGGGGGCTGTTAATTTCTCACATTGGGTATAAGAAAGTGTATATTTCATTTTAAGTGTGAATTCAATCAATTCTAGATCACATTCCATTCACTGTATTATTGCTTCTACTCTATTTTTCCCCCCCTAGATAAGGCATTTCAGTCAGAAAGCAGGCTTCCCTTTTGTTTTTAGCATTTAGCATGGCTTCTAATCTCTGTTATGCCTCTGAAGCTCCTCTGGTGCCATGTTATGAGGTTACTATTTTCATAATATCCAGTCTGAGCCCTTAGCAGTTCTCTTTGCACGATTGCTACGACTCCTTGCTCTGGAAACAAGACACCTAGGTTCAGACAGTTGCTGTCATACTTTGCTTGTGTGACCTTGGGCAAGTTATTGAGTCTCCCTGTACCTTTGTTTCCTCATCTGTAAAAGGGGGGTAGTAATATGTTCTTCAAAGGACTTTTGTGAGAAATTATATAAAGAATGGTGGCTCGGACGGTAAAAGCGTCTGCCTACAATGCAGGAGACCTGGGTTAGATCCCTGGGTCGGGAAGATCCCCTGGAGAAGGAAATGGCAACCCATTCCAGTAGTCTTGCCTGGAAAATCCCATGGACGGAGGAGCCTAGTAGGCTACAGTCCATGGGGTAGCAAAGAGTCAGACACGACTGAGCGACTTCACTTTCACTTTCTTTCATATAAAGAATACCTAGAACTTAAAAGTTTTATATAAGTATTAGCTATTATTATCATAGTGGAAATAACTGGAAGCACTGGCTCAGTCATTAGGTTAACTACTGTGTTAGTAATCTCAGCTCAAAACTTAACAGTATAAAGCACTACACATTTATTCTCTCCCAGTTTCTGTGGATCTGGTCACAACTTGGCTGGGTCCTCTGGTTCAGGGTCTCTCACCAGATTGTAATCAAAGTGTCTTCCAGGGCCGTGGTCTCATGTGAAGCACTGAATTGAGGAGAATCTGCCTCAGTTCACTCCTTCAAGTTTGTTGGACTGAGGGCCTTGGTTCACCACTGGCAGTTGGGTAGACGCCACCCTCAGTTCCTTAGAATGTGGGCCTCTCTAACTTGCCCCATCAGAGCAAGTCTGGGAGAAGAGCCAAAGAAAGAGTCTGCTGGCAAGATGGAAGTCACAGACCATAACTTAATTGCAGGAATGATATCTCACCACTTTTACAGTATTCTCTTTGTTAGAAACAAATTACTAAATCCAGCCCAAACTCAAGGGGAGTGGAGTATACTAAAGCATGAATATTAAAAGGCAAGGATCACTGGGGGCCAAGTCAGAGGCTGCCCACCCCACCACTACCCCAGTTAGGATTTCACTTGTGTGATGTACTGTCAAGCATGTGGATATATAGGCATATATATAAATTAAAATACCGAATACATTTCCTGGTGTAGGAAGTAACTTGGTCCTGTCAAGTAAAATGTAGCAAACTGATATGAAGTATAATTTTTGGTTATTAGTTGTTCCAAGTGTTTCAAAAGCTTTAAAACCATTTTTTAAAGTGTACTTGCATGTTTGAAATAATAATAGCATTATTATTTGTGATGGTTAGTTTTACATGTCAGCCTTATTGGTCTAAGGGATACTCAGATAGTTAGTAAAACATTTCTGAGTATGTCTGTGAGGACCAGAGAAAATCAGCATTTGAACTGGACTGAGTAAAAAAGATCTGCCCTGACCATGGTGGGCGGGCATCATCCAGTCTGTTGAGGGCACAAATAGAGCAAAAACTCCAGGAAGGGCAGATTCTTCCTTTCTCTCTCCTCGAGTTCAAACAGCCATCTTTTCCTGCCCTGTGACATTGTAGTTCCAGGTCTCAAGCCTTTGGCCTCAGCTATTCACCTGGTTCTCAGATTTTTGAACTCAGACTGAATTATACAACTCACTTTCCTGGTTTCCAGCTTGCAGGTAGCATGTGGTGTGGGACCTCTTAGCCTCTCTGAGTGTGTGAGCCAATCCCTATAATGAATGTTTGGAGCCTGTTTCTCTGGGGAACCCTGACAAATACACTATTCTGTAAACATAGGAAAGAAAAGATCCACTTCTGAGTCCTTCGATTTGTTCACTTAGGGATCTTTCCTTTCAGTTTTTGTTGGTTTGCTCCACATCCATTCTGCGTGTAATGTTTAATTTTTCCTGTGCATATTTGAAAATAGTTGTTGAGCACATTTGTTTTGAACTTCTCTCTCTTTTTTGTCTTGTGTTCACATATCTGTTGGGAAAGTAGTAGTACCATGCATCTCTCAGTTAATGTAGCTTCTTGCAGCTTCCTCAGCTCTATCACTTTCTCATTAAGAATCTGCTTTAAAAAAAAAAAAAAAGAATCTGCTTTCAGGTGTTCCTGCCCTTGCAGGAATAGTGGTGAAAAGAGAAAAGGCAGATGAAACATGAGCTTAACCTAGTCTAATTGTGGAGACATAATTCATGCTGTGATTATAGAGTTTCCAGAGAAACACAAAAGGCTGTGTTTTCTTATAAAGGGTGTACTCTAGAAAATAGTGCGTGCAATAAATTGTCCATAAAGGTTACCCAGGGAGGAGGGTGAACATCTGTATGATTTTTTAAAAATTATTATTCAAAAGCTTTATCTGGTTTCAATTAACTGCACTGTTGAAGTCCTCCCCCCAATACACACCCCTCTTTAAACACCTGGCCCAGCTAATATTGGTGGTGTGATCCCTGCTGAAGTGTTGAAATTTCAGTGTCTCTGGCCTAATCTCAGACGGCACAGTGCCTGCATGCCTGAAGTTAGCATGATACGCTCCATTTAAGATGTATTTGACAATCAAATAAGTTTGTATTAGCCAGAGTGTTGCAATCCCTAATCATTTTGCCAAAAATAAGTTAGCTGTTATGTTTTACAACATATGAAGTGTGATAATGAGAAACTTGTGTTTCCATCTCTTATGTTATTTTTACTGGAATATTTGACTCCCATAAGATTTTTGAGGACATA